CTGAATGAAAGACATTAAAATTTAAAAAAAAAAATTAACAGCTTTAACTGAAGTCACTATTAGGAACTTTGTTACTTGTTAGTAAGATATAAAACAACACAAATTCAATTAGATGCGAACATAGGAGCTATATCTCTCTCTAATCGTTCACTCTTGACAGAGTGGTCGTGGATAATTCTGCACTTTCTTTGGCTAAAACAGCTCCTGCGATGCGCTTCCACTTATCCCGGTCTTCAGCTTTTCGGAAGGAGCTATATACTGTATAGAAATGTGAAACTAAGACTTATATTATATACAGGTAAAACAATTTATTACAAATAAATTCTATTGATTTTAATAACTATATATAATACTGCAGCGTTTCCGACGATTAAGTTATACAAACACACTTGTTGACCACTTTTTGACTAGCGAATTCCTTCTGTAGGTAAGTTATTTTACCCAAATCCCAAGTTAAATTAGTTTTTGTTCTAGTAAAACGAATGAAAAGTATATATAAAAATCATTATATATCTATATGTGAATTGTTTAAACTTAATTTTCTTTCGTTTTCTGTCAATATTATGGAATCTTTAGATGTTATGTGAATCTATTTTTATTTCAATACTCATTATATTCGATAGGGTTGTAATAATATTAATGAAGGCAGAATTCTTTTATATTTAATATAAGAATGAATTTATAAGAAAAAATACTATTTTTACATCAAACTAGTTATAATGTGTCAGGATATAGTTTACATATTATTAATTATTATTTTAAAATGCTAGTTTGTTTTGCCAATCAATAATTCCCTACGTAATTTCAAACTTTTGAAAATATATATAGCTGGTAATTTACATATTACTCTTTAAATAAATCGATCAAAATATATTCTTCATTTCATGAACATAATATGAAGTTTTCCATATAACCTGGTTTTAAACTGCATATACTGTATGCCAATACATGTTATGCGCGTGGGATGTTGGTTTTGGGTGTGTGGAGGCAGCTATTTGCCCGGGGAGTTTAATCGATCTCTCCAGCGCGGCATTATATATATATATATATATATATATATATATATATATATATATATATATATATATATATATATATATATATATATATATATATATATATATATATATATATATATATATATATATATATTTGTATTGGCAACATTATTTGTCAGTGTCATTATTTTCAGTGGTAGCCTAGTGGTTAAAGTTTCGTCTCTCGTGCATGAGGGCGCGGGTTCGATCCTGTCAACTACCAATGTGATTGTTCCGAGTCATATATATGTACTTTCTAAGAGTATTAGACATCACTGACTGATGAAGGAAAACATCGTGAGGAAACAGAGACTTATAATTTCAAATTATAAGTTTGAAATTGTCAATCCGTCTTGAGCGAACGTGGTGATTAATGCTCAAACCTTCTCCATGTAAGAAAAGGCCTTTGCTTAACAGTGGGCTCTGATAGACTGATGACATTATTTGTATTGACAATATTTTTAGGCTCAAAAGAACGCATGTTCAAAGCTGTAAAAACATTTACAAAACAAATGGCAATATTTTTCTAGTATTAATATTTATTATTGTCTATAATTAACGGTATTTTAGTCATTTCATGTACTTATCTAATTTACAATTAAAATATTTAGCAATGAAACAGTTTAAATGCGTTTATTTTAGCACTTTAATATAGATTATGTCAAATGTCATAAGTTTTGACAAACCACATGTCACTTGTAATGACAAGTTATTTCGATTAATCAGCTTTTAAAATTATTTCATTTACTAACAAAGTTCCTAATTGTGACTTCAGTTAAAACTGTTAAATTTTATTTCATTTAAAAGTTAATTCCGGATCATGTCTCCATTCTACACGATACTGGAAGAATATACTGTGCACGTCTTTGCACAGATGAAGGGCATATTTTAAACAAGCAACCAATCAAAATTATTTAATGCCTGAGATCTTTATTAAATATTTAAAACCACACTATCATAAAGACTTACAATATTGTGTATAAAATATTGCGCGTTAAAATTAAGATATTTTAGCCGTAAGGACTAACTGACAGATACTGTCATCGCGTGTTGAAGTTCTTCAAACTTCTCGAAGTTTCGGTATAAGTTTGGATGTAGATATAAAATCCTATCAGAGCCCACTGCTTAGCAAAGGCCCCTGTTTCTCACATGGAGAAGGTTAGATCATTAATCACAACGCTTGCTCAAGACGGGTTGGTGATTACAAACTTATAATTTTGAAATTATAAATCCATGTTTCCTCACGATATTTTCCTTCACCGTCTGTCAGTGGTGTCTAAATTTTTATAAAGTACATATGTCTCGGAAAAATCACATTGGTACTTGCCATGATCGAACCCGCACCCTCGTCCACGAGAGGGCCTTTAACCACTAGACCACCACTGACTAAACTTGTTCTAGCAAAAGTCTTAGAGTCTAGAAGTTTCCAAACTATTCTAAATTGTTCTTACTAAATGGCTATCACCATGTCGCCAAATACAATTGGCCTTTTCACACTACACACCGACATTTTACGTTCTTGATTTAATAACTGAGTTTAATGAGACGTTTAAATATGAAAAACTGAAAACTCTCCGTATTTAGTGTAAAGTCAAACTCGTAATATAAGACGAGACGAAACTTCTCATCATTCCATGTATTCACTTTGCGTGTGTCGGGTCCATCGTTGTAGTGAGAGGAGCTTCAACAGTGACTGGTACTTGTGACCCAGGTGTAGGTTTAAGGGACCCTATCTAACGTGTTAAACGCTCACCTCCCCTGTCCAAGCTCCTCTCGCTACTTTATTTCTTCCAATTATATTTATAGTAAAATTTAGATATTTTTATTTATTTCAAGATTTTCCTTAATTTCCTTAACTATTTGACGTATTTTTTTTTTGTTTTGTATGTTTGTTTAACTTGTTCCAATATGTTAAGATTTTCCTATGACGAACTTAAAGTAAATACTGACATGCTTATTTCAGAGAAATATAATTAATGATAACATTTATATATTTAAACTAGCTTTCCGCCCGCAGCTTCGCCCGGGTGGAGTTCGGTTATACCGCGTTTCCAAGAGAACCTTTCAAAAGTCTGGAATAAAAACTATCCTATGTTCTTTCTCAAGGTCAACTCTATGTCTGTACCATTCATTAAAATCAGTTCAGTTGTTTAGTCGTGAAAGCGTAACAGACAGACAGACAGAGTTACTTTCGCATTTATAATATTAGTAGGAATAAAATGTATGTTGGCAGCTCTGACCACGATCGATCCAGCTCCCATTTATATAACAACTGCGTAGTATCCTGGTTATACTTATAGATTCATCACACAACTTTTATTTAACTAAGGCTTCATTCGCACTGGAATTGTTTAATATTTTGTCAATGTCAAAGTTTTTATTTGTTGGACGAAAGAGTCTTTTATCAGAAATTTAAAAACGAATTTCCAAAAGTACTTGATAGAATTTTTAATGACAACTGTCTTTTAATTTAAAATGTTTGCATTTTGACATTTGGCAGTTTAAATAGCTTAAAAGATATTATAAAGAATGTTTATATATTTTTTTATTCCAATATATATATACTAAAAATACATCTATATATAAATAATTTTTTGTTTAAATATAGTTTGATTTCTTACGTTTAATCTCATATCTTTGACTGACGAGATTGTAGGTTTTGAAGTAAAATAAATAGTAATATATTTAAATGTTCACGTACTCGTAATAATGAAGACAAAATATGTTTTAATATAATTTTAAGTTAAAAAAGTTTTTGTGGTATTTACAATGGTAACAAACAAAATGTCATTCTTTAGACAGATTATAATAATCATTTAATTTGATATCATTGTATGTATGTTAAAAAAATATAAAAAGGATTTATTCAGGACATAATATTAAAATATAAGGAATGGTTGAATCGTTTCGTGTTAAATCTAGGTCGCTAGATCGATAAAGCTGAAATTTGCCCGGACTGAAATATTACTCTACCTCACGTTACAATACATGTTATAGAAAAATAATGTGCTTTATTATTTGCTTGTATGTAATTATATAATAAGACATTTTATCGTGTTTCCATTAGATATAAAACATATTTTTATTGTCTTTGTTTATTTATCCTTAAATTAAGAAGTTTTTTTAAGTTATGGCTTCATTCGCATTGGATTCTTGGAATATTAAGCCAATGTCAATGTTTTTGTCTTGGATGAAATTAAGAAGTTCTTGTTTCTTGACTATTAGTTTTCTTTATGATTGTAGCGGATAGACATTTTAAATTCTGATTTTTTGAATGACTATATATGTGTAATTTATATTCACTTGATTTGACTTTAATTCTATCCCACATTTTAACTTTATGATTTAGAAACAAAGGGACAGCTTAATTCACATAATCTTTTACAGAAATTATTATCAAGAATTAAATATTATTTTTAACAAAATATACTAAACAAATTTTAGTGAGCATTACAAAATAAATTTATGTACGTATAATATATAATTCTCCATCATTATAATTTCTTTCTTTTTTTCCTTCTTCTTTTTTTTTGTGAACCTACACATCCCTTGTCTAGTTTCTCCTATCAAAAGAGTTTCTGATAGTCATCTTTTCGAAACAAATTACGCTTTGTTCATCACATTAATTCTACTTTTATAATAAAAATAAATAATTAAATATTATTTGCGAATCCTTTTCTTTTTTCGTCCTTCGCCCAGGTAGATATAACCCCGCCCATTCCCGGGCCACCAGCGTAGGTTCATCTAGAATTCGATTAGGTCACCTGGAGGAACATGCGCATTACTAGGCTAGGGGTTTCCGAGGGGGTGGCATCCGCGGGGCGAGTGCGGTCTAGCGCTCAGAACATGCATCTGGCGAATGCGCCTTGCATTTGTACGCGGTGGCCGATAGTGCAAGCACATAACCCAGTTACTCCGTCATGGAAAAATTGGGTTATGTGCCTGCACTATTGTGAATTCCAGGTCTGGAGAGCATGGAGTTCCTCCCGCTTCATGATGCTGTGAAGTTTCTTGGGGATACGAATCTCGATAATATCTATAAGAAGGATGGTTTGATCGAGAGCTTCCGAGACACACCCTTGAGCATCACCAGCGAAAATGGATCAGTTCTTATAACACTACAGACCAGGTAATTATATATATATTATGGACAATTTTAATTACGTTTTTTGGTTCGCATATATTCTATTCTCTTAATTATTTATTGATCTGTTCCAAAAATTTAAGTGGTTATAAATTGCTGAGCAAACCTTCTCGTATTAAGAAGATTTTAGTTCTAATCACCAAGCTCAAGACGGGTTGGCGATTTCAAACTTATAATTTGAAATTATAAGTCAAGGTTTCCTCACGATGTTTCCCTTCACCAATCAGTGGTACTTGTATCACATTGGTACTTGTAACAATCGAACCTGCGCCCTCATGCATGAGAGGCGGGCCTTTAACCTTTAACGACTAAAAATTAATTAATTAAATTCTTCTATGACAAAAATATCTCGTACTGAGTTGCATACTATTGGAATTAATGATGTATTTCTATCAGGGCTCCTCGTTCTGAGACCAAGCTGATAGTGAACACTACGGGAGTATTCATCAAGGGAGTGAACACTTTCAACATCAATGACCCTGACTCCGGCGTCCAGCTGTTCAGCTCTGGGAATCCAGAAGTAACTGTTAACGAAAACCTTAACAGTTTAAACGCGAGAGTAAGTTGAACTTATCATATATTGTACTGTAAATTTACATGGTTATTTTACATATAAAATTGTTCACAATGGCGGGCTTTTTAAAAGAAATTTCTTCCACCCAACCCATAGTTGTAAGAGATATTATTGGTGTTTTTGTTTTGGATACTCATTATATTAGTGCAAACAATCCGATAGTTGAATATATCAAAAAAAATATTGTTATACTACAAAATATATTTAAAAGAAATTTGTCGATGTATCTTAGATTGGAGTGAGGAATTTCGATTTTAATTTCTTTTCTGACAATCAATTAGGTACATCAATGAGTATATTTTCCTATCTTCTTGCAATTATTTTAAACTACAAAGTATTAGATCTTGAAATTTCGGACTTTTACTGCAAGCCCCTGTTACCCACCAGCTAAGTTAGGAAAATTTCTATTTCAGATCGGTTCAAATATCCTAATAGACAGACGTGGCGGCGGTATATTCGTTAGCGTATAAATGGTAATTACATTCCAGCAAGTATCAACCAAGAGGATTTCGTCGCCGGTTGATGAAGACCTGGTCTTCCGATCCGAAGCCTCCGCCTACCTACGAGGAGCCGAGGGGACGCACATGGAATCTAAGGAGTTATATTGGAGTGCTGACCAGGATATACATCTCAGATCCGCGAATGGATCTGTTGTACTCAGCGGCAAAGAGGGAGTGTTTGTGGATGTACGCTACCTCCCTATCGCCTTGCCGTCCAAAGACCACCACGGCACCGGTCAGTTTAAAGTATGCGTTTGTATGCCTCAAGGCAAGCTGTTCAGAATCGCTGTCCCCGACGGTCAAAGAGTCACTTGTTCTCACATAAACACAACCGGCGACTTCAATCCTTGCGGATAGAATAATTAGCTTATATTCCAGTTTCACGTAGCAGAAATATAATCGTAATTTTAAATTCTATTATTGTAAACTTAAGTTAGATATTCGGCATTATTTAAGGCAACAACAAATTAACATCAAGATTAATCGAATCAAGTAACATCATCAATTATGAGGAATATAATGTTGTAATTAGGATAAGTAGTGTCCGCTGGTAAATTGACGTTTGCAGAATGAGTTCGCCATTGGAACCACAAATGAGATCTAAGTTGGTGGTTCAACGTTCTTTCTTACCAACGTTGGACCATGTAATGCTTCTTCAGCATACAACTTGGCGCTAATCTGACGGGTATGGGATTAGGACTTCGCCATGTGAATCCCTATTTATACTGGTCTAAGTTTTAACTTCCCGGAACTTACGAATAACCTGTTTGTAAGTTTTGGGCATCCCAGTTAAAATTGTGACCATTCCTACAAATTTTTCTGAACCTGCCTCGTCATTGTCACTAATTCGCCGATTCTGACGCGCGAGGGTTCTGGGTCTATGTTATTTTACAAACAGCAATTGCGGTGCGAAACCGGCGAGTTAGTTTCCCAGAATGACAACTCGTTCTGTAGCTCGCTGCAAGTAGTTCCCGCTGGAGCTGTTGTCTTGAACGTCGAGGAGACGGATGAAAATATTTTAAGGCAGTATTTTCCCCCTTTCCGATACGCTCGGACTCCTGTTTCATCTCACCAATACATGAGAATTCTTCTATCTTGCGCTTTGTTTGCCTTCACCCTTTTAATTTGGGTTCAGTCCTGTTCTATTCCCTGAAAGATTTACACTTAAAATCCTGTTTATCCAGGATTTAGGGGAAAATTGCGTTATCATTCTGCTAGGGAGGATTAACAGCGGTTTAGTTTGGATTCTAGATATTTAAGCATATATAGCCATAGTAATAGTCGTTTACTCCCAAGTAGATGTGAAAGTACTGTTGATATAACATCGTATTAACGAGGGGTTGCAGTTTCGGTACATCGCACTAAGCTGACCACAACATCCAGTTGAGTTTGTTGGAAGCCCGGGAATACACGCAATTGCGACTTACATCAATCAGGGGCTCACTTCAACCGGGAAACCAACAGCCTTAACGACAGTATTGTATCGGAACTGTCGCCCATAAAATGTTTCTTATTAAGCAATTTTAACAAACAACGGTCAGTAGATCGGTTTGTGAGTATGTAAATAGATTTAAGAATATAATCTTTAAACTAAGTAATAAAAATATGTAGTAGATGAAAACCTTTGTTTCATTAAACCATTATTATCTCATACTTTTAAGTCAGTTCTATAATAATTCTCCTTAAATATTAAACAGTTATCTTCTATATATATAAAAATGGATTGCTGTTCCTTAGTCTCGCTAAAACTCGAGAACGGCTGAACGGATTTATCTTATCTTAGTCTTGAAATGTTCGTGGAAGTTCAGGAAAGGTATAAAAGCTGAAAAAAATTGATTCATTACTGGGAAAACCATAAAAACAGCCCTTTTCTATTTCCCATACAAACGTTTTTTTGACATTAGATTTGACAACTAACTATGTAATATGTCAATCATTATGTCGCACTTCAAAACACTTACAGGTAAACTCCAAAAATATAAATAAAAAAACGTAATAGATATTTCTTGATTATGGGGCGATACGAAGTTCGCCAGGGCTTCTAGTTCTTAATATAAACGACACAGAAAAAACAATAAATTCAAGGAAAAATAATGTTTACATTTGGCCAACAATCTAATCATTACTATTTACTAGTAAGACGCTTTTAAATAAAAGTCTAATTTTACTTGTATCTTGTATAATGAGAAACTCTTCATTCAAACTTTATATTTTTTCAATGCTACGTTTGTTGGAGCCTCGACTTATTCTAGAAGCATATATGGATCAAAGGTTTGTAACCTTAAACATTCGATTTCTTTAAAATTAACTAATTAAAAGTAATTGTCTAAAAATGCAGTACATTATATAAAGGACTCCCATTCTTTTATAAACACCCAAAATTTTGTTTGTAACATATAATTAAATATTCGCAAGACAATTATTTAGTCTTCATTTGCAAGTTAAACTAAGAGACGAAACCTCTCATCATTCCATATATTCACGGTGCGTGTGTCGGGTCCATCGTTGTAGTGAGAGGAGCTTCAACAGTGACTGGGACTTACGACACATATTTAGTCTTTGGAGACGTAATTTGCATAGATTCTCTATATATTCAGATTTAAAATATAGAAGTTATTTTGTTTATGGAAAACCGTTACCTAAAATACTTACAGAGAAGTTTGTAGGTCATAAAGTATTAAAAATGTTCAGTAATAAAGCTCATATGATTTAAGATACATGTAGATGTTTAAAAGGAATTAAATAGATAACGTCGTTTATTTAATTAATTACGATTTTTACCATAAACATATATATAATATATATTTATCAAATCAAAGAGGTTATGTAATATTATATTTTAATCATCACAGGGTAAAAATAAAACTGGTAGATACAAATAATGTTTTCTATATTCTGTGTAGTAACAATAATTTACTTCATATAGACAAATTAATAGAATTTCATTTTAAAACAATCATGGCTATAGCTAATCGGTAATCCTCTCGGAATTATCGCTTTTTTACAGAAACTATTGACTATTATTACATTTGGACATTCATTTATGGGGTATTTTGGGCGGTATGAGAATAGAGGAATCTTTGTTTTGCTTAAAATACATAAAGACAAAGAAAGAATAGGATATTTTGTCGTATTATTTTGTCTAATTTTAAAAATTATCACTTGCGTAACTGTCGAAGAACTTCTTGATTAAACAATGGCAACATTTTCACTAGAAATATAGAAATGAAATTAAAAATAGGTTTCATATGAACTTAATATATTATCTGTGGTTCTTGTATATAAACGGACCGCCCAAAATTTTATTCTAGTGGACATGGTTTTGAAATGGGACGTTGATGCAAATTGACTTCAGCTCATTAAACTAGCAACAGAGTATTTCATTTTTTAAAAAAAAAAAAAAAACTATATAAAACAGATTAAAGAAAGTTAAAAACTAACAATAGATAAGACAGCGGCATTTATTACAGAATAAAAATAAAATACTCCATTGGTTTACTAAAAATATATTAAAAATAATTTCATTTATAAGTAGTGACCAGTATTAAGTGAAGAGTTGAATTACTAATTTCTACGTATTTTTCATTTTTTGTACATTTTAGGGACCGTGTAAGCGTATTTGGATGGACAGATCCCGAAAACAGGCAAAATAAAGTACCAAGAATGTTAATCACTTTGTTTTAACAGATTTTGTCTTTGGCTTGTTGTACTGAATTGCATCGGGAAAGAAAAAAAAATGGTGATGAAAAGTAAAAAAACCATAGACAAGCTACTTATCAAACCTACTCGGTTAGACGACAAGTCTTCATAAATTAAGTAGGCACATTAGTAAATATGAATACTGTACATGAAAAAATATATTCTCTCCCTAAACCTAGTCTTTACTCCTGTACAAAATATACACTCCGTAATTTAGACTTGTAAGCATTATCTAAAATAAAGTCTTTGTTATTTATTTAATTAAATACTTCAATTAATCTTATATTATTACGAAGTTCATCCGCCGCTCGTACTAAACAGTAAAACTAGAGAAGCAAAACATTAGCACCCGAATGGTGTTAGCTACAAGCAGTCAACCGGCGTCTGAATACAGCCCGCCGCGGCCATCAATTCCTCATTTATCCTTAAAACTATTAACTATCTGTCATAAAAATACAGAATTATACGATTTACTCCATAATGCTTTACTCGGTTCAATCTAAAAAAAAAAAATCGTTTAAAATGCTTCAATTTTGGCACTTACTTTTAAACTAATACCAATACATAGCGTTTAAAAAATAAGCTCAAATGGCATTCCCGCCCTTAGGCCGCGTGTTTTACGATAATTTCGCCTTTTGACACATTCGACTTATCAATTTTGATATTTCAAATCTCAATATAATTTCGACATTAACAAGTGCCACGACTGACTTTAACATTAACTGACGTTTGACAGTAGTTTATAATTTCGGCGGTAATTTTAACAGTTCCAAAGCTAATTTCGGGATATCTAATCGTAATGACTGGACGCCAGGCTCGTTCTAGATGAATGCAGCGTCGTGCTGTGCTGCGGCATGCTGCTAGTTGCTGCCGGCAGCCTCGCGTTTGCTGCTAACCTCTCCTGTTCCTCAAGTTGCGCTGAGAACTCCTCCTCTAAAGCCTAAACAACAATCACTATGAAATCGAGGTTCTTATAATAAAACCATCCATGCATTCTACATACCATGCGCAACTGGTTAATCCTTCAAGCCATAACATGCTTTGTACATCGTTGATATTAATTAATTGCTGCAAAAAGGATGAAAAACCACCACCGAAATAATAAAAGATGGAAAAAAAGGTTATTTCTTTATTTACATATGTTAATACAAGCCTTCAACTTATTTATAACAGCCATTAGGATGACGCGTCCATTATATCAAAAACCTAAATGGAAATTAGGACATGCCGGCTTAAAAATAATTAAAAAATATTCCACATGCAATATCTATAGTGATTAATATATTTATAAGCACTTAATTTAACAACAAATAAAATATTTGCGACGCCATAATCAATAAAAAGAGAAAAAAATCGAAAACATCGTATATATTCTCAACTACATCACTAAATAAAATAATATTTTACGATAAAATTTATTAAAATATCAACAATCTATAACTATTTAGGCACGTTTATTTAAAATTATATAACCCCGCCATTATTATCGGCCGCCATTTTGTTAATTAATGAAAATTTTTCATACATTTGTATAATGGAAGTTAAATAAATGTATTGACACTATTCGGAAGCTTCATTAATGTTCTAGACTACAGAATCTGGCTCAGTTTTATCACTGGCGACTGTTTTGAGGTCCAAAGTTGATAATTGGCTGACTGGTATATTCGGGGCATTTGAGTAGCTATTTGACCCTCTAGTCGGACCCCAACGGCTGAAATATTTCTCATCATCGCTATATTGAGAGTCACTACTTTTGTATGTATCGTATTTCCCTTCTAAAGATGGCATATCTATTACCACCGCTTCCATGGACACATCTTGCTTCAGACTCTGCTGTGAGATACTACGTCTCATTTTCGTTTCCCCATTATTTAATTGTCTGAAGAGATGGTCGCTTAAACTCTGCCTATTATTCTTGACCGGTTTCGACCTCACTATTTTCGGTTCCTCGTCTATTCTAGTGTTGTCCTCGTACGCCATTATCGGTTCACGTCGTACATTATCCGGTCCGTTGAAAACTGAGAAACCGGATATTTTTTCGGAGACCAATTTAAGATTGGATGTCGATCCGAATCTTTGTGTTTTTATTAATTTCCGCTTGGTGGTGTTAGTAGCGCTGGAGGCAGCTGATTTTGTCAGTCTGTTGTTAGGGCTGGTACTCCTGCGACGGTCTAGGTCTGGAGTGTTTAGAACCAGGTTCAGACTAGTTCTAGACCTAGATAGTGATCCTATGAAGGAATTCCGCTGGTGATAAGCCGTTAGTACATGCTGCAAGACGTTTTTCGGCCATGGCACGTCCAAGTAGACCCTTCTATCAGGTATTTCGATGCCGAATTTCCTCTCATGATCGTCCAATTGCTTCTCGAAGCTCATTATGAGTTTCTGCAGAAAACTATCGCGTTAGATCCCCCCGGAAATCACCCCCATGACGTCACAGACATAAACTATATCTAGATTATATATATAGATATGATTTAAACCAACACCAAGTTCATGCATCGTGCATACATGCAGTTTTTAATAGACTTATGTACTCACTGTTTATGGAAGCAAGAATTGTTAAGAATATATCAGTATATACATTTATGGGTAATTAATATATATTTTTAACACATATAAAATCTATTAAAACTTGACAACATCCATTCTGACAGACATGCAGTCAAGACAATCATTGTATGTTCGTTTTTCTATTAAAATTGACTTATCGTCGTGTATAGTGCAAATCCTCGTGACTAGCATTGTATAATTCCGCGTATCTACATTGGAATCAGATTATCAGAAGAAAGTTTTAGATCAAATATTTTCTATATTAACGACTTTTAAAGTAATTTTTTCACAAGTAGTAATTATTTAGTGTTTAATTTATTACCAATTGTTAAAAAACTACCCTAATAGTCTTTAATGTAGAATATATTTCAGCTTATTCTTTTGATAAACTGCTTCCAATGTAGATATGCGGTAATAAACAATGCTAGTTATAGATTTGCACTATTCCCAACTATATCCTAATAAAATTTAATATATGGACCACAAATTTATATATATATATCTTTGTACATAAAGCCCCATAACCATTATCTTATATACACAATGCTAGTGTCATATATCGCTCACCGTCTTCCTATCAGCGAGCGTAGCCCGCCACTCCTTTAGCTCAGCGGAGTACCTCTCCTCGATGGTCTTCATCTTGCTGGCCTCGTGGTTCATCAGAGCCTTGCGCTTCTCGTTCTGATATTGCTCCAATTCACGGAGTAGAGCCTATATTACCAAATTTAGATCATTTAGATTAAAAAAATAAATCTCCGTGTTTTGAAATGCGACAGAATTGACATATTAGTTGTCAAATCTAATGTCAAAAAAAAACGTTTGTATGAACAACTACTAATAAATTAAAAATTAATTAAAAAAACATTGTCCAGCGGACAAAATTGTGAATCTAAACCATTTTCAGATCCCCTTGAACACACACAAAAAATTTCATAAAAATCGGTCAGGTCGTTTGAGAGAAGTTCAGTGACATACACACAGAAGAATTATATATATAAAGATATTACCTCCCCCTGCGCCCTCAGCTCCTCCCTGGCCCGCGCGTGTTTGGTCGCCAGTCGCTGTTGTTCCGATCTGTATCGACGCTTCTCGTTCTCCTGGAACTGATACAACGAAATACATTAATATGATATAACGTCTAATATTGAGGAAACATTTGCGAGTTATTTATGGCAGTTAGGATTTATGAAGTGATAAATTATGGAAGGGTAAAATGATTCGTAACGTTACGTAACGCGTTCCGACGATCTAACTGGGGTTCTTTATCAGTATTACATATGAAACAAGTTTTTAGTAAAATTCAATAAATTAAATAAGCAGATTATTATCAGTGTAATTTCATAAGTAACTATTTTAAATAGTTCCAGGACTTAAAGATTTATCTAATATGAGAACTCATATAAATAATATCATATAAACATATATATACAAATGGTCTCGCAGACCGATGTGTCTCATTACAACAACACATATCCCATATTTCGGTCTCATGGACCGAGTGATATGTAACATCGGTCTGTCAGACCGTATGCTAGTCTAACCTTCTTGAGCCTCTCCCTGTCATCGTCGTGGCCGGCCACACTGTTGATCCTCAGACTCTCTCTGAACATCATCTCCCTCGCCTTCTGCTCCGCTCTCATTCTCTTTGGCAGCGATCTCTTCTCCAAAGCCTGACATTTAGCCAACTCCTCTTCTTTGCGACTGTTCTTCCTTTAGATAATAACAAAATATTAATAAATCAGTTATTTGTGACTAAATAATTGTAATTAATAATATTAAAGTACAAAATTATATAAATATTTGAAATTTATTTTTTATAATACACTATTAATTATTATTTTAATGTTTATGTTGATGATTATTAGATTATTTTTTTTAATTTCCTTTGTGTAATTAATGTAATGTAATTTCATCTGCATGTTACGTGTCTATATTTCTTTGAATTGTGTGTAACATCTATAATTAAGACAACATTTTGATTTTATGATTACTTGTTCAATAATGTATTATTCGCTTTTATTAATGTATGTCTTGTTGGTGTTAATAAATAAATAAAATAAAATAAATAAAAATATATTAGGCAAACAGTTTATTCAGTGATCAATAGATTATTTCCTTTTGAAGTAATATTTAATAATTAATGTAATATAATGTTTCCAAATAATTAAACTATATAATTATAAAGTATATGTACTGGTTATAATTAAAACAATAGCTTAAATAATCAAAGCAGTCACAATGAGCCATTGAAGAGTCACAGATTGCAATCCGGGAACATAATTATTCTCTTTGTATTATAATGACTAACTCTTCTATTAGTAATAAAACTATCTTGTAGACGTTTTTTGTGAGCTATTCGCTCCTTGAGTATTTTGTGAGCTATTTCACTCACTGGGTATTATCAATCTTTGAGCGTACCATAACTATACTTTTATCTGTGTGTGTGTGTATGTGTGTGTGTACCTCTTAATCTGCTCCAACTCCTTATCATGTCGGACCAGCATCTGATGTCTTCGCAGTAGGAACTCATCCTTTAATTGTCTCTTTGCCAGTTGATGTCGCTCGTGTATTTGTTTTTCTTCTAACTCCCACAGCGCTGCTTCTCGAGTACGCATTATCTGCAAGTTTAGAGATGGGAGAGAAGAGATTAGAATAATGTTCTGGTATTAATATTTGTATTGGCATGTTGGTTGTATGTTTGTCGCTATATAACTCAAAAACTACTGAAATGATATTGATGGAACTTTTTTAATGTAGTTTAGACATCAGAGTACTATATCCCTACTAATATTATAAATGCGAAAGTAAATCTGTCTATTATGCTTTCACGCCTAAACCACTCATGTGATTTTAATGAATTTTGGTACAGAGATAGAGTTGACCTTGAGAAAGAATAGTTTTTATCCTATAATTTTATACTATAATTTTTTTTTATAGAGAAAGGATAGTTTTTATCCCAGACTTTTAAAAAGTTCTCTTAGAAACGCGATACAACCGAAGTCCACGCGGGCGAAGCTGCGGCGGAAAGCTAGTAGGTTATAATCTATCAATCCATTCCGTATATTTATACGAGAACATGTCATAATAGTAGTATATAGTATGTAGTGACGTCACACAAAGGATAGATTTCATTATTTTAAAACACTTTCTATCTTTTCTGAGAGCTAAATGTCGAAGGCCAGTATGTATGTGATACATTTTTCTAAGAGCCTATTTCCGAAGTAAATTAAAAGATATAATAGTTTAAGTCATTGGTGGCCTAGTGGTTAATAGGTCTGCCTCTCATGCACGAGGGCGCGTGTTCGATTCTGGCCCAGGCAAGTACCAATGTGATTTTTCAGAGTCATATGTACTTTATAAGAGCGCTATGATTAATGCTCAAACCTTCTCCATGTGTGAAGAGGCCTTACAGCAGTGGGTTCTGATAGGATGATGATGAATAGTATGTCTGTTTGTCTGTCTGTCTGTATGTATATGTGCATGTATATATATGTCTGTCTGTAAGTCACCTGGTGCCGCTGCTGCAGGTACTGCCTGTCAGCCAGAGCCTGCCTCTCCCTGTGCTTGTCGTGTACTCGTCTCAGCACCGCGTCACCAGACTCAGCCAGCGCGGCCACGAAGCTCCTCTCTCTAGTCGCGTGTTCTGAATCAAGGCGGGCCCGGCGGGCGCGGTAGGCCTCCTTACGACGTTCTTTAGCGACAAGCTCTACTTCCTGAAATATCATTAACATGATAACATTATTATTTGATATTAATGTTAATTTCTGTCTTGTAAATGGTTTCATTGTTGTTTGTTTTGCATATTATATGTAATGTAGCTAAACAATTAACTTGAGATTCAATTTAAACAGCTAATATATTTTTTTTGTTTATATAATTATAGGTTAATCAAGTGGATGACTTAGGCAACTTTTTCTAGAAATGATACTCCACAAATTGTCATTTATATAATAATATTATGTAATCATAACAAAAAAAAAATATGAATAACACATAACCTATCAATTTTCTTGACATATATAAAAAATATATATTCTTTGTTGTTATATAAGTCAAGGTCAACTAGTAATGATCCTATCCCCATTCCCGACTTGCTATCTTACTTATATTATAATTGCTAAAGTTTGTGAGTGTGTATGTGTATGTTTGTTACCTCTTCACGCTCAAACGGCTGAACCGATTTTGATGAAATTTTGTATACAGGAAGCTGACGTCCAGGAATAACACATAGGCTATAACGCGATTTTCAAATATTTATTCAGTTTGGGACATTGCAGAGTATAGACAATAATGATGACCGTGTCTTGAACGTGTGTCAAACGATTAAAAACAGTGTTGGGTGTTATGAACGTATTTTACAAGAACGTAAACAAAACGCCACCCAAAAGACAATACATGTATTTTTTCGTAAAAAATAGGAGTACCTATGTATTGTATTGTGTTCTTAGAATTAAAGTGATTGATTAAAATGATTTTTATATTTGTGTATTAAATTTTGACTGTGTTTAATCAAAAACCTCGATATACGCGAATTTCAGTTAACGTGATTTTCTTCGGAACTCGCGTAAAGCGGGGTATTACTGTATATACAGGGTGACTAGTGAATTACTATCTTTACTTGAGGACGTGATATTTGACGATCATATATGACAAAATAAAAATTAATATAACATAAATATTAATAAACTTCTAAGTAAAGTTAACCGAAAGTTGTGTAATTAATTACGCATCGTGTGAACACCCTACAGGTTAGGTATATATACACACACACACACACACACGTGCGGCGGCGTGGTGTTGTATCAGCACGCCGGCGCACGTGTCCACACTTTATTTATTTATACGGAAATTTGGTCAAAATTTAAGTACCTATTTTTTTTACATAATTCGAATGAGAATCATGTACCGAGTACTCTCCTTAAATATTGATAGTAATTCACCAGTCACCCTGTATATATCTATCGTCTCCCCCACCTGTTTCATCAGCCGCAGCTCCTGTTTCAGCGTGTCCCTGAAGTGCCGCAGGTCCCGCTCGTGGTCCGCCCGCAGCCTCTTCGCGTGCTGCCTCAGCTCCGCCTCGAGCTGCTGCTCGGCCCTCTCCGCTGCCGCTCGCTGGGCACGCGCCAGCGTATCTAGATCCGATTCGTGGGCTCGCGATAGTGATGCTAGTTCCGCTTCGAACCTGTATTGTATGGAATTTTATATAATAATAGTAGATCCATATAGCGTTAGTACAAATTAAACTTAATAAATGAATCGGTTAGTAAATTTACAAAATAAAAGCAATTTTATTTATGATACTAAACAAATTTTAAACAACACATATTTTACTTGACGTGGAGTCGTATCCGGTGTGATAAAATTGGTGAATCACAGAGAGCTTCAATATAAATAATAACTAGATTGATATATTGGATTCAATGACGTTATGGAGATAATCATAAATTGGTATACGGACTAAAAATTACCGATCAAACAGTTATACACAGATTCATATTGATTTTAAACATTCTATAAGAGAAATATACAAGCTCTCCCCGCGACATTGTCCATGTGGATATTTTATTTCGTAACTAAAATATATCTTTGGTTTCTTTTTTTTTCGTTAGAAAATTCGATTATTCAGTAATATAAGTGAAAGAAAAATGCATCGAATGAGATATACACTTCAAGAGTATTCATTTAAATTAAAACTATTACTATTCTGATTTACTCTGGTTTTTAATTATTTATAACAACATTTTGCCGACGTTTCGGTTACTTTGCAGCAACCAGTTAGATTACTGCAAAGTAAGTCCGAATGATATTAGTTTTATTTCAAATAGTATTTATTAAACTCATCGACATCTTAAAGCATATAGCTAATTGAATGTAACTAATATTTTCAGTATACTACGCGCAGTGCCGGCGTTAGAGGGACTGACACCCTGGGCAAGAATATTTTGGCGCCCACTTGAAGAAATCAAAATCGACTATTAATTTTTTTCTGAACCAATGTGAACACTGAACGTGTATTAAGAATTCTATATTCCATCTACCATCTTCCATCTTTCCTTTAGCGTGACCCAGAACTAACGACGTGGACGTAAAAAGTTATGTAGCTCCTATTTTTTTTTTATAAGTATCCTACCTCTACTAATCGCCCCCTCAAATTTGGCGCCCTGGGCCGTCGCCCCAACGCCCCCCCCCTAACGCCGGCACTGGTCATAGTTCTCATTATACAGGTCGTTGTGTAGGTCACTGACCTCTTGTCCTGTTGCTCCCTCAGCTGGTGTTCCTTCGCGTTCAGATCCTGGAACTGTTTCTGCTCCATCTTCTGCAGCATCTTAATCTCCCTCAGCTCCTGTTTCCTCAGCGCTAAATCATCCCACGTGCGACCTGATTCTTCATCTCCCCATATAACCTGGACATAGGATGTATGTATAAGTAAGGTCAGTGGTTAAAAGGCCCGCCTCTCATGCATGAACGCGCGGGTTCGATCCTGGCCCGGGCAAGTACCAATGTGATTTTTCAGAGTCATATGTACTTTATAAGAGTATTTAGACATCACTGATTAATGCATTCCCAAAGAGGGTTGATGTCAAGCAGGCGGCGGTTGTAAAAATAATTAGTCAAAACTATTCACTACATGTAAGGCAGACCCTGGCTGAAGCTGGGAAATTGGCACGTAGAAGAAAAAGGATGTATGTACAAGTTATTATAATATAATTAGGATAAAACAAAGGATAGATGTCGCTGAATCTTTAATTTAACTGCTTATAGCCATATTATCGCTTCTCTTTGAATACAATTCTTTTCGTATTCGATAACTGACTTATTTAATTTCATTATCGCGAAGATAATGGACATTTTATGTTGATTTAAATTTTATTGAAACCAGTATTATCCCTGCTAATATTACAAATGCCAAAGTAACTGTCTGTTACGTTTTCACTCTTAAACCACTGAACTGATTTTAATGAAATTTGGTACAGACATAGAGTTGACCTTGAGAAAGAACATAGGATAATATTTATCCCAGACTTTTGAAAGGTTCTCTTGGAAACGCGATATAACCGAACTCCACGCGGGCGAAGTCGCGGGCGGAAAGCAAGTAATAATTACTTTAATAACATTAGTGTGAGAAAAGTTCTTATGTTCTTATTACAGTGCATGCTGAGTTAGCCTATAATTGTAGTGTACTTTGTAGCTACATATTCTATATTGTAAAACTTTTAATGTTTGTAATAATTTTAGATTTTTGTAAATTATGTTGGCTTCCTATGAAATAAATAAATAAATAAATTATGTATTTTCAGTGACCATTATAGTAAGAACCCAGTTGGTCCTAGTATTATATGATATCGTACCTTAGAGGTGGTAGTAGTGACCACAACTCCGTCTATTTCAAACTTCCTCGTTCTTTTCCTAGTCTTCTTCTTGAGGTTTGCCATGTGGATATCTTCTTTTGACCTTTACAATATAAATAATATTAAGTGAATTGTATGATAATTCTGATAATTCATTGTAGAATAAAAAAAAATCTTTATATATATAATATCTCAAGTAATTATGAATTTCCTATTAAAATAATCAGAATATAAGTCTCAGAGGACAGAATCCGTTAGAGAATACAGTTTCTTCTTCGACCATACACATATGTGAGGTTGTATTTGAAATAAAGATTATATTTATTTAATACCAGCTGATCCGGCAGACCTCGTACTGCTTCAATCGATAAATAAATATTTTTTTATTTATTTTTTTGGAGTTTACCTTTAAGCCATAAATCTCCGTGTTTTAAAGTGCGACAGAATGATTGACATATTAGTTAGTTGTCAAATCTAATGTCAAAGAAAACGTTTTTATTGGAAATAGAAAATCGCTGTTTTTAGGGTTTTCCCGGAAATTAATCAATGTTTTTCATCTTTTAAACTTTCCCTGAACCTGGACGAACATTTCAAGACTAAGATAAGATAAATCCGTTCAGCCGTTCTTAAGTTTTAGTAAGACTAACGAACAACAATTCATTTTTATATATATAGATTCTTTGTATATTAACATGTATACCTTCATACAAAACCATACAACTTCAACATTAAATCTCTTATATTTCGTCATCTATTCATTTTAATTATAGTTACTAACCTCTGTATCCTATTGCCTTGAGCGTCTTGTGGTTTCCGTCTCAGAACAACCACCTCCTCATCCAAGGTCTGATTTTCTGAATTAGGCCTGAAAAATATAAATAAATCATTATTAATAGCTTGTAATGGTATATATAGAAAAGTATTTTCGTTGTTCTATCATAAAGATCAATGTTGTCTCTACAGAGGATGAAGTATGACTAAACCCATCAATAAATAAGTTGAGAACACCTGACTCTATACAAAAAGCAGTGACAAAGAAAAAGGTTTTAATAAAAAGTCTACAAGACGGTCTAAACTCTAAAACAGTTGAAAACCCCTGCCTTCTAACCGACCTGTTAGCGTCAGTGAGGCGCTGGTCGTCGTGCGAGGCGGATGTCGCGGATGTGGCGGATGTCGCGGATGTAGCGAGCGAGTCCGCGTCGCCGCGCCTAGATCTCTCCGAAGCGACAGAACCGCTGTCGGATTGAGAACGAACGCTGAAAGGAATAATTATATGTTAATAAATGACATAGTTGGTGAAGATATGTCTATTACTCTGTCACATACACAGAACAACTAAAGAAACCCAATAGTAACTGATATTAGAATATAAATAGATTATGATTTATCATTTACTTAGTAATAGTATCGTCACACACGGTAGATGGCGTTGACGTTCGTTTCACATATATCGATGGGTCCTATGTATAAGGGTCAAAGTAGCAATTTAGCCATTATCATTTTTGCTTTAAAAACTTCATAATACTGTTTTCTACAACAGTTTTTCAATCTTAAATGACGTACATGTATGTCATAGTTGCTATACAATGTTTCAAAAGCATCAGTTGTATGTACAAGATACATCATAAAAATTGATATTTTGCACATTGGCTTTTATACATACGAGCCATCGATATATTACATCTCGTGAGGAAGCATCGACTTATAATTTACATATAAGTTTGAAATCACCAATCCGTCTTCACCAAGCTGAGTGATTAATGCTTAAACCTTCTCCGTGTGAGAAGAGGCCTTACAGCAGTGGGCTCTGATAGGCTGATGATGATGATATATAAGACTATGTATGTACAATACTAGTATCTTTATGTGTGTGTGTGTGTGTGTGTGTGTGTGTGTGTATACCTCTGGAAGCTGTCCGGACTCAGCCTCGGAGGCGGGGCGCTAGAGTCCCTGACCTGGACCTCCTCACCTACAGTCACCACCGACACGTGCGACGTGTCCTGGAATAAAAAAATACTATGAATTCCAAATTCAAAATTACAGACGGATTCCAAATTTAAAAAATACATTACAAAAAAGGTTTTATGCAAATTTTATTTATTTTCTGTAAACCTTTGAGTTTGTTTGAGACTTTGAGTTTGCATACATATACAGGGTGTTCTAAAAATTGTGTCAACCCCCTTAACTGCGTTATCAGTATCGAAAATGGAACACAATCAAACAACTTACATTTACAAACTCTTCAATAAAAATAATAAAATTAAATATTAAATGATTATTATATGTAGAGTAACCAAATGTTTGTAAGCCCTGGTATAACACGATGACACTCAATGGCGTCATCACACCTGCTGCGCTACTAGTGACGAACTCAAACGTACTTTCACATTTTTGAAAATATCGATATTTAAAAAATCATAACAATAAACAAATATTTAATATTCATATTATTTCGATACTTATTTTGATATATCAAACATTAATATTATTTTTGATTGTAAAACACCATTTTTAACAGAAATAGATTAACGATTTATCCTAATAATACAACATAGTTAATTTACCTGAAGAAGTTCCAAATTATAATATTGATTAATAATATTTATTATTGATAAAAGTTATTTTAAATGAAATTATTTTAATGTGAAAAGCATAACTATTTATAGCAATATTGAAAATATCGATAGAATATTTATCGATATACCTAATTTTTAAACATGCAAATCTCTATTCGAAAAACTAACAAAATAGTAATAATAACGCCGGCGGCCCGGCGCCTGCGGTCAATGGCCACGCATGCGTCGTTGCGACTATACGGTGCCTTGACCTTGTATGGGTCAGATGTTTAAAACATTTTTTCAAATAATGTCGATTTAAAACTTATTTAGCCTATGCACTGTAACTGACCTCTGCTTGATATTTTTTAAGTTATACTATTTTTTATAATAAGCTTATACTTATATGTATACATGCCTTCAAGGGTTTACACAGTTTTTAGAACACCCTGTATATGTGTGTGTGTTGTATTTATAACATGATTCTCTCTTTCTCTCTCTCATATATAACTCACCAGGTTGATGTGGTTCTGTCGACTGTCCTCAAACACTCCAGAGTCCCCGGCTCCGGGTGACAGTATCAGCACCTCGCTGCTGTCCAACCTTCGACCGCGACCTTTTTCTGAAAAAAAAAAAACAAATTACATACATTACATACATATAATATGAACTATGTATAATTAAAAGTCAATCCGGTACTAAGTTTAGCTGTAGTTTCTGTTCTATACTGATTTCTTAGAGCAGATATTTAATCCCTCATTTAAATTTTCTTTCTTACCCCCCCCCCCCCTCCCAACTTCTGCAATCATTATTGTACATGAGTTATTATATAATTGTAACATATTCATATATCTCGTACATCACATATACAAGATACATAACAAACATGGAGCCTAGCCTGTAAGAGATATGTTTTATAAACGGGAATATTTCAATGTTGATATCCCGCAACTATTTCTGTGGATAAAATTAAAAACAATTCTAAGCTGACCTCTCCTTCGCGGAAGAAATATTCCTATCAAGTCTCTAGACTTTATGGTTCCAGAGACATACATAATATATACAAAGATGTCTTCATGACTATATTATACTATAGTTGAACATTAAATTGCAGTCTGTTTTATTACTTGGTGAAATTCAATTTTTGAAATTTAATAATTGTCCAGAAATGTTCTAGTCGTTTATTTTTATAGAAGCATTTTAATATTAACCTTATATAATAATTGAATCTTTGAATATTATTAATGCTATACTTGTTAAATGTATGTATGGATGTGTTTGTGTGTAAGTGCGAGTGTGTGTGTATGTGTGTGTGTGTATGTTTATATGTTACATATCTCCCAACCTCTGTGTCCGGAGGGCGTGCAGGGCGCGCAGTCAAGCGAGTCCAGTGATGATGGTGCGAAGGCGTCATCATCATCAGATGAAGCTGCTCTCACCACCACCACCTCTTCAGGACTCGTTGATATCGTGACGGCGTGAGGCTGGAATTCGAGTAGAAAGGATATTATATAGATAAACAAAATTTATATATAAAGTAGTAATATATATCTTATTAAGAAGATATTATACGAAGTGGTCACTTCTTATGGGATGGTCAACCGTTTCGTAACGTAACGTAACGTAACGCGTTACGGCGCCTAGACTCTGGTGTCCCTTTTTCTCGCGTGTAGGTACGGCATTGCTTGTTGAAGTGCTTCTATTTACTCACAAGTAGGTTATAAATATAATGTTTTCATAAATATCACAATTTCTATATTAATTAGTTTAAATAATAACTTCTGAATGTCTTTGAGCTCTTTGTAGCACTTTTATATTTATTTAATTAATTACAAAAAGAGTACATGTAACATTGTTCTACATTTACAGGTGTTTGATGTATATACAGGGTGACTGGTGAGTTACTATCAATATTTAAGGAGCATACTCGGTACATGATTCTCATTCGAATTATGTAAAAAAAATAGGTACTTAATTTTTGACCAAATTTCCGTATAAATAAATAGAGTTTGGATACGTACTCATCCTTGCCGGCGCCAGTGTGTCGCTACTCCCCAACCCCCGCCCCGTGGCTAGCGGGCCATTAGTCGGCTATTAGTCGCGCGAGGTCCGCCGTAAGGTCCGTACGTTCGTCTTCCCGCGCGCGCGCCTAGCGATCGATCTTACGCGTATACCTAATAATAATCTGTCGTGTGTGCGTGTGACCCGTTATTACTTATTAGTAATTAAATATGGCTTTTCAATACACAAATGCAGAATACTTGGACATGGTTTATGCGTATGCGCGTGCAAATGAAAGCTTGCGGGGCGCAATCAATTTGTACCGGGAGATGTTCCCCAATCGTCGAGTACCTACGGCCAGCGTCATCTTAAACGCTAATCAAAGATTACGAGACTTCGGACAGTTCCGTGTTCCAACACATGCCCAAGGAAACGTCTTGTGTATGCTACAATGTATGTCAACAGAGAGGAGTTGAAATTAAAAATCAATAGTGCTTTCGAAACTATTAAAAGTGACCCATTCGTATTAAATCGTGTGAAAGACAATATGTGTAAACGTGCCGAACTGTGTATCACACGAGAAGGAGCTCGCTTTGAACATTTGTTAAGGTTAGTGTAGTTATGTAGGTAAATAGGTAGTTTAATGATTGACAATTGTTGTAAATAAGAATGATTCCATTTTTAAATACGCCGGAAATACCAAGATAGGTAAACAGTTCATATTATTTTTCGTGTCAAGGTCACACCATTTACCTAGTCAATAAATTGGTTGCTTAAACGAAAGAAATATCTTGGTATTTTTGCCTGTCCTAAGCCAGGATTAAAGTATGAAGGGAATTGGATCATTTTTGTTTATCTAAGGTCTAACACGCGGCGGCGCGCGGCGTTTGGATGTAGGTAAACTACCGCGCGATAACTACATATACCTACGTACATAACTGTTTTGTGTCGATAACGCAGCTAGGGTATCCACGCGATCCGTAATTAATTACATAACTTTTGGTTAACTTTACTTAGAAGTTTATTAATATTTATGTTATATTAATTTTTATTTTGTCATATATGATCGTCAACTACCACGTCCTTAAATATTGATAGTAACTCACCAGTCACCCTGTATAAATATATATATGGGCTTTACAAATTATCAAACATTTTTTAAGTCAACTATATAGTTATACATGTCCCTTATATCATATTACATGTAAAACTTAATTTTACGTATTTGATAGTAGTAATTGTAGGTATTGTATTGTTGGTATTGTAGGTATTACTCACCGGAGCTGTATTTAGAACTGGCGGATGTGTTGTAGTAACAGTGACAAGACCAATAGGCGCTGCTCCTAGAGAGTTTGGCTCCGCACTCACTGATACAACTGTTACTGACCCACACGGCGGCTGAATGAAAATATATAACACTTATATGAATTATTTATTTATTTATATAAGGACAACTTACAAAACATACACCATTTATAGGTTTGAAAATAAAGGTTTAATTACATTGTTAGCTAAGTGTTGTTTCAATTAAAAGTTATCACGGCATGGATAAGGACAGTATTTACTATTAACCTAACACAACTTTTTTTAAAATATTATATTATACTTAGAGAAGATGATTTTTAAGTTATCCAAGAATTAACATGATAAAATTATAGTTTATTTATATGTAAATTATGCTTAAAAATTTGATTTTCATACTAGAACATAACAAAATATTACTTTAGTAGTTAACTCGGCGAGAGGCGCTACCGGGTAAAATTTAACACATAGTGCATACTTTCAAAAATATTAATTTTTGTAAGTAATTTTGTGCAGCGCCGTTTTAGATACCTTTCGACAGATGTTCGGCGGTTCGACTAATAAAGAAAATCGTGAGATTACTTGAAGGTGTTGGCTGTCTCTTGTATTGCCACAAATTAAGTGTAAATCTACCATCTTAAACCTGCCTACATTTATGAAAAGTAAAATAATACTTTTACTTGGTGGTAATGGCGAGCAAAATAATAATATTCCGAATAAACAACAGGAGAGAGCCCTCCAGCCACACTAGCAAATTTTTCGTTTTGTGCACAAAATGGCTGAGCTTTTGGGCTATGTTTTAAAATGTCAAAAATTACATATTATCCCAAGCGTTTTTAGTTTCCAACTGTCTTGTTTAATTGAAAATGTAACCAATAAAATATAAAATTTGGTTATATTTAATTATCCATAAAATAACTAGTTGTTACATTAATATTATTGTGGTATTTTTTACCCAGTCAGTGTTGGTATATGGGGCGCGCCTCCCGCCGAGTTAAATGAGAATAAAAGATGATTTATAAGATATCCAAGAATGTACATGATAAAATGATAGTTTATTCATATGTAAATTATGCTTAAAAACTTGATTTTCATACTAAAACATAACAAAATATTAGTTTAGTAGTTCAATGGGAATAAAAAACAGGTATACAAACAAATTTCATAAGTAATTACTCACAGTGACTGAATTCATTTCCACTGATGGCTTCTCATCGATTGAACCCGATCTGGAATCCTTTTTGGGTCTCAAGACTTCTATGTTATACCTGTAATGAATGTTTGTATGTATGTTATCAATTTCTACTAAATTTTTGATATATTGACTAAATTAATGTAGAAAGTACATTTTGTATGACGATCTAATCTGATATTCGATGAAAAGAAGATGATTTAAGAGCTTTGAATGGAATACAATTTGTTTTATTGTTGTTAATTAACTTTTTTTCTATGAAAATCATAATAAATTCTAAAAGTAAATAGTGGCTTCTTCATGACACTCGTTTATAAGAAATTTTGGTACTATAGATACCATTTAAATCTTATTATATCCATGTATTTTTATAAAAATTAGACTTAAAAATACTGTTTTAATACATTTGATTTAAAAAACTTCTCTATATTCAAATATACTATTTACAATATACAGGGTGACTGGTGAATTACTATCGATACTTGAGGACGTGATATTTGACGATCATATATGACAAAATAAAAATTAATATAACATAAATATTAATAAACTTCTAAGTAAAGTTAACCAAAAGTTATGTAATTAATTACGCACCGTGTGAACACCCTACAGATTAGGTGTACACACACACACACAAACTCGCGCGCGGCGGCGTGGTGTTGTATCAGCACGCCGCCGCACGCGTCCACACTAAGAACACTTGGAACGTGTCCACACTTTATTTATTTATACGGAAATTTGGTCAAAAATTAAGTACCTATTTTTTTTACATAATTCGAATGAGAATCATTTACCGAGTATTCTCCTTAAATATTGATAGTAATTCACCAGTCACCCTGTATATTTATATTAAACCTTTAATATGTACTTAGATATATGTAATATTTTTCATACTACATCATCTGTTTTGACTATACATTCATTGACACATAAAAACCAGTTCAGCATTTATATTGGAACGGACAAACAAACATACATTTAACTAGTGACTGACCTGTCTTTACCATCGACGGATCTTGACCTTGATTCTATCCTACTGACTGCACTACTGACTCTTGTTTCACTAATCTCATTGGAGCTTGACCGGGAACGTTCCTTCTCCTTCCTGTTCTCCTGGGTCACTTGACTGACTTCTATACATGACTTACTCATGTCAGCTGACCTCTCAAACTGACTCACTGACTGACTGACCCTTACATCATCGGAACTCTTCATTAAGTCTGTATTAATTCTATTCACTTCGGTTATCACTTTATTAGCTTTCAATTCTACGTTACTCTTGTATATGCCGGTGCTAATATTGTTTGTTTTAGTTACATCCCTTGTTTTATCATCTAGACTAGTTTTTACGTCAGCTTCGTCTATTTTAGCGTCACCTTTGTTAACAGTCTTGTCTGTGTCATTCTCGTTAACGTCAGTTTTAACAGCGGGTGTGTCAACTTGCTTATTAATCTTGGGGCTTGTTTTCTGTATTCCGTTGACCTTGTGATGTACTTCCGGTGTGCTACCCGTCTTTGTGTCCTCAGCCTTATGATTAATTCCCTTTTCTATTTCCGTTTTCTCCTCCACAGCCTTCTCTGCGTCTCTGCATATCTGTGAACATAAATATACAATCAAATTTGTAGTTCAAGGAACTCGTAATACTTTCTCTCAAACGCAAGGACTTTATATATAGGGTGCTCACAATGTAACATATTTTTCTTTATAATTAACATGTTGATATTAATTGTAAGCGTCACCTGTTCCACTATGTCACCGGCGAGCGCTGTTGTCGCCGGCGCTGTCGGTGTCGTGGTCGTTGTGGGCGGTGTCGGTGTCGTGGGCGGTGTCGTGATCGTGGGCGCTGTGGTCGCGGTGGGCGGCGGGGGTACGCTAGCGGGCGGCGGGGGTGCGGGCTGTTTGCGGGGCGCGCGGGGCGGGGACGACGGCGGACCGGCGGGAGGGGGGGGCGCCGGGCCCTTCTCCTTTTTGGGTGCCTGTGGAGTGAAGGTTGGGTCATAGTGACTTATAACATGTATGTGTTGTGCGCGTGTGTGTCTGTCTGTATGTTCCACATACCGGCGTCCTCCTGTCAGCGGGCGCGTCGTCCAGCGCCCTCTTGGTGGCGGCGGCGGGTGCGGGGACATTGACGGGCGGAGCGGGGGACGCCTTGCCACCCGCTTCGTAGTCGGACACTGATAGGAAATAAAATAATATAAATAAACAAATATTGCATATTTATATTTAAAATACATATAATTTGCTTGTCTATATCGCTGTTTAATGATTATACTACTACAAATGGTCTCGTGGACAGTATGTATTTCATTACATGTCACGTGTTTCGGTCTCAGGGACCGAGGGAAATGTACAGTTGGTCTATCAGACCGTATTATATATGATGTATAAAGGACAAAGGTATTTACTTTTCATATCCGGCGTGTCCCCTGAGCGGACGGATGTAGAGTCATCTTCCATATCCACCTGCATCTGTGAGCTGCGGTGCTCCTGGGAACGTGAAGTATATATGATAATAACTATTATATACATATTATTTTATTTTCAGCTCTATCTCAGTAAAAACTGTCTTGCCTCACATTAGAGATCAGCTGTAGTTAATATTTAGATGTAGAAAAAACATTACAAATATTTGATAATCAAATTATTAAGGGTATACGCACCTCCGCTCAAATAGTGTCATAAGTCAAAAATCCCAACTTTCGAATAAAACGCGTTTGAAGTTAATGCTAACTTTACTTTTCGGCTCATCACTCAAAAACTGTGAAAGTTACTGCAATATGATTTTAAGTAAGTTATAATGATTTTTGACACTCAACAAAATGGTGTAATAGATTTTTGGAATATATTTAAAAAAAAAAATAACGAATAACGGATGAAAAAAACGAATAATTTACGAAATATTGACATCTATGGATAAATAGTTGAACTAAGGGCATGACATTATTTGAGATAAGATTTCGAAGTTTTCTGATTCCAATAGTGCAATAAAATTGAATTCAACTTTTTTTGAGTTGTGACACTATTTGAGCGGAGGTGCGATATAATATTTTGAATTACCACATATAAAAGGACACCAAAAAAAAAACAACATAATAATTAATAATAGGTTTAAGAAATTGCAATATACTGTCATCACACATTAAGTTGAGTACACACAATGTAAGTAATAAAATAATGACTATGACTTTTATAATTATTTTCTATATTTTTCTCCTTGCAATATTAATGTGAACACACCCTAATTAAGCGATTCTTGTTAGTAATAAGCTTATATGTTTAAAGCAATACCAAATTTGTCTGCCCAAAAGTCAATATTATATTAGAGCAACCTGTATATAATTTTATGCTTACCACAAGTATCTCATACCACATACGCAGCGTTCCACGTTTAATTCAATAATCCCTACTAATATTATAAATGTGAAAGTAACTCTGTATGTTTGTTACGCTTTCACACCTAAACCACTGAACTGATTTTAATGAAATTTGGTAGAGACATAGAGTTGACCTTGAGGAAAAACATAGGATAGTTTTTATCCTAGACTTTTGAAAGGTTCTCTTGGAAACGCGATATAACCGAAGCTGCGGGCGGAAAGCTGGTACGTTAATATTTGAGTAGTATTATGAATGTAATACTGTTGACGCGACGTATGTAGTGTCGCTGCAACTTGTGGTAAGTGTTGAACTGTATATATTGTATATTTTATTTATTATATATGTATATATTTCTTTATATGTTATGACTGACCTTCAACAACTGCGGAGGCTCTGGCTGGCATGATTCGCATGCAATGTTTACACACAAACAACATTACAAATACAATTATATTATATATTTATGTATATATGTGTGTGTATGTTAGTTTATGTTCTACATCATAATATACATATAACTATGTATTAATTTTCAACATATCACAGACTCAAGAATTAGTGTTACTTTCAATTGTAGCAAAATCGACAAATTTTGGTATACTAAATGTTAAATCATACAAAACTAGAAAAACAATGTAATTTATCGTATCATACTGGTATTAAGCTAAACAGTGCAGAGTACACTTATTTCTGTATGTGTATATGTGTGAGAGTGTATGTATGTATCTGTTTTAGTGTGTGTTTGTATATAATATCTATGTTTTTTTTCTGTCTCTCAGTGTAAATGTGTCCGTGTGTGTTTGTGTGTGTGTTTTAATATATGTGTATGCCTCTGGTTTTGTTTTCTGTCTGTGCACTTGTACGTATTATGTTTTTTACTGTCTCTGTGTGTGTGTGAGTAAGTATCAATGTATTGTCCCTCTCTTTCTTAGTGTGTGTATCTATCTATGTTTTGTTTGTCTTTGTGTATTTGTGTCTAAGTGTGTGTGTATGTCTGTGTGTGTGTGTTATACTAACCAACTCTCTGGTAGTGCTCCCTGTTAGCCCTGGCCCTCCTCCGGGCCTTCGTCTGTCCGTGTGCGTGTTACAGCGTGCTCGTTAGTATTATATACACAGGGTGTATCGACAACATCACTACTTGCTCATCACATTATACAGCAAAACAACATACTGTATAATGTCACATTGACAGATATGCGAAAGAGTTTTAATTAAATTAAATTTACATAGTATTATTAAATCTTTTATATGACAACTAGTGATGTATCAGTATATTATTGTTAGTAGATCAAAGCGATGTTATTCTTATATACAACATATATAAATATATATTGCTGCAAGTACCTCTGCATCATCATCGAGCAGTTCTTCCTCAACCACCTCGGCCCTATACTCCAGAAGTAGTTCCCTCAAAGGCTTGGAGTCCAGCTCTGAAGAAATGAACTCGTGTTTTAGAAGTTCCAACGCTGTGGGACGCTTCTCTGGGTCCTGGGAATGAAAGAAAAAAGTTTTATGTATATACTAGCTGCCCCCCGCGGTGTTACCCGCGGATTTCCGGGATGTAAAGTGCCTATGTGTTATTAATGGACGTCGGCTTCCTGTATACAAAATTTTATCAAAATCGGTTCAGCCGTTTGAGCGTGAAGAAGTAACAAACATACACACACACTCACAAACTTTCGCAATTATAATATTAGTAGGATTTAGGGAACAAACATTTAATTTGAACCGAAACTTTATATAAGACATATATGTATATAATGTGCAACCTGCTTGACAAGAGTCCTAGCTAAATTGCTTCGATGATTTTTTTATTACAAATCAATATATGTTATATAAGACATATATGTATACAGTGTGACTGGTGAATTACTATCGATACTTGAGGACGTGATATTTGACGATCATATATGACAAAATAAAAATTAATATAACTTCTAAGTTAACCAAAAGTTATGTAATTAAATACGCATCGTGTGAACACCCTACAGATTAGATATACACACACACGCGTCGGCGGCGTGTTGTTGTATCAGCACGCCGGCGCACGCACCCACACTTGGAACACTTGGAACGTGTCTACACTTTATTTATTTATACGGAAATTTGGTCAAAAATTAAGTACCTATTTTTTTTACATAATTCGAATGAGAATCATGTACCGAGTATTCTCCTTAAATATTGATAGTAATTCACCAGTCACCCTGTATAATGTGCAACCAGCTTAACGAGAGCCCTGGCTAAATTGCTCCAATGAATTTTCCATTACATATTAATATATGTTATTATAGTGTTTGTAACAAATTCAGATAGTAGGTAGATAAATAATGTTTGTGTCAGTTGTCAGTCTACGTTGAAGCAGTAAATGGTGTGCCACGAGTTCAATGTTTTATTTCATTATTACTCATAAATATAACAATTATATAAGACATATACCTTAACAAGAGCCTTCGCTATAAAGTCATTGAAGGCTTTGCTCCATCTCGATGGCTGGTCCAGGGCGGGCGGCTCACTCTTCTGTATCTTGAGTAACACTCTCATGGGCGTCATCTCGTGGTTGGGAGGTTCCATCTGAGCAAATTCTATCAATGTGATGCCTAATGACCAAATATCCACCTGAAAAATATTATAATTAATTATTTAATGTTCTATATCAGTGTATTTCAATCTTTTTGATATAGCGACCCCTTTACGGGTTGAAAAATATTTTCGACCTCCTTGTGACAAAGACAGAAAAGGAAATTCTTAAAATATTTCCTTTTGCCAGAGAACCTCCTCCCAGTAAGTTTAAAAAATACTGTTCTATATTATAATATAAACGTCATTATGTTTACCATTCAGTGACAACACACACATTTGTATCAACAACTACTAATAAATTAAAAATTAAGTAAAAAAAATTGTCTAGCGGACAAAATTGTGAATCTAAACAATTCCCAGATCCCCTTGAACACACAAAAAATTTTATAAAAATCGGTCCAGTCGTTTGACAGGATTTCAGTGACATACATAAAAAGATATATTATATGTATTACTAACCTTAAAGTCATAAGGGTGATCTCTGAACGTCTCACACAACACAACCTCCGGAGCCATCCAGTACGGAGTGCCGATGAATGTGTCATGCTTCTGGAGGGTAGACTTGTTCTTGGCTGACACTCCAAAGTCCGCTGTTAATATATATAATAATAAGTATTTAAATCTTTGATAAGTACTTCTGAATATAAATATACATATGTATATATTATGTTAGAAAGTTATGTCTCTGTATGAAATTAGCACCATAATGTATATGTATAATTTTACTCATACATATATATATATATATATATATATACATGGTTGTCTTACCTAATTTGACGCCTCCAATCATAGTAGCGAGTACATTCCCAGCTTTAAGATCTCTATGTATGACCCTCCTTGAATGCAGGAATTGCAGCCCCCGGCACATCTCCCTACAAACATACGCTATCTGCGCTTCATTCAAACCCTTCTCTAGTTCAGACATCACAGAGTCGAGGGCGCCACCGTCGCAATACTCCAACAGCATCTAGATAGATACATTAGATATAGATGGATTATTTTTATCTATGACTATACAGGGTTACTGGTGAATTACTATCGATACTTGAGGACGTGATATTTGACGCTCATATGTGACAAAATAAAAATTAATATAACATAAATATTAATAAACTTCTAAGTAAAGTTAGCCAAAAGTTATGTAATTCATTACGCATCGTGTGAACACTCTACAGATTAGGTATACATACATACACACACACGCGTCCACACTTGGAACACTTGGAACGTGTCCACACTTTATTTATTTATACGGAAATTTGGTCAAAAATTAAGTACCTATTTTTTTTTACATAATTCGAATGAGAATCATGTACCGTGTATGCTCCTTAAATATTGATAATATTTCACCAGTCACCCTGTATATTTGTTAGCTTCTATGGTCAAATAGAAATCATTAGAAAATTATGTATCATATTTTGAAGTTAAGTCCAACGAAACATGATAAATTTTGGAAATAAACTGTGTTTTACCGATTGGTAAGCAGAAGTTTTCATACAAAATAGTGGTTGTTCAAGTTCTTTGTCTAATAACTTCTTTAGCCAAAAATTTCTACGTTTGAGTTGATTCACGGAATGAATGTGTAACATCAAAAATATTAAAATAAACGTGAATATCCGTATTCGAACACAGACAGCCTATACATATGCGATCCGGTATAGTGCGTTTGATTTAAGCTGAGCTGCATTTGTGTGAGTGCACACGGATAGTGTAGGTGTGATGTAAATTTTTTTAATTCTATGTTCTTTTCTTAGTTTGAACTGGTTTATACTGGTATTATTCCGCCCCGCACCTTCCGCACTTCACCCTTTGTACTGGTAGCAACGTGAAGAAGAATTTGTATAGGTTTTTCATATTTTTTATTAATTAATTCTTTTTTTCCATCTAGCCTTTTACAAGTTTTGCTTATTTTACTTTTAATCTAGAATAACTCTCACACTTATGTATGTATCCATTTAAAATATAATCAAATTTAATTCTAATAGTTTTTGTCTAACTCTACTTTAACTTTTACTCACACAAATGCAAAGCTCAGCTTAAGTCTAACGGACTATACATGAGACGAAACTACTCAGCATTCCATGGATTCACCGTGCGTGTGCCGGGTCCATCGCGTTGCAGGGAGAGGAGCTTCAACAGTGCCTGGGACTTGCGACCCAAGTGTAGGTTTAAGAGGCCCCTTAACTAACGCGCGTTATACGCTCACCTCCACTGTCCAAGCTCCTCTCCCTATCTAACCAAACCATTAAACATCAAATATTCTTCCGTAAAAGTAAGCTATCCACTATATACTGACCCATAGCTTGTTATCAATGAAGTATGCTTCATGCAGTTCAACAACATTTGGATGCCTGCATTCGCTGAGTATGTCAATCTCGACTGTAAAGTCAGCCAGGTCATCTTCATTGTCAAGAACACACATCTTGGCAGCGGCCAGCTGACCGGTGGTTTTGTGCTGGGCTTTGTACACCTGGAAACATGGGTTAGATTATAAGAAAATATGTATTAGTGAGATCCATATTGAATTTTGTTTTAAGAATAATAGTTGATAGGTGTACTGTATTTTTATTTGATTGTTGTAAGTATGTATTGTATGATCAGTGTTTGATATCATGAAATTAATTTCTGCTTATATTATATTAGAAGTATATGGCTATATATAGTTTTATGTATGTATTTTCTGAATGTATTTTCATAAAACTTTCATAATATTTAGTTAGTCAAAATCTTTTTAGATACAGGGACCAATAAAAAATTTATAAAAAAGTAATTTATATTTGTCTTATATATATAAAAACTAGACTTGTTGGATTGCTTTTAAATTGTTATACAAATAAAATTATTATCAGTTATATGATTCTCCAAACAAGCTAATAGATGGCACTACTACAACACTTTAAAATTTGTCAAAGAAACTACGAATATACTAATTTAAAATCATATCATTTGTCACTTGTTCATATCACGATCATATCATGATCATATCATTGTCATATGATATCATACCTTCCCAAAAGCCCCGTCCCCCAGCTCCCCGACCATGTCCCAGTTCTCATTGGGATCGCTGTTATCCCTAATGTTGCTGAAAACCTTCTTCTTCTTAGCGTCATTTCCGCTGCCGAGGTGTAGCACCTGTTGCATACATAGAATATTAGTGACACGATAGCTCAGTTGAAAAAGTGGCGGCGTGGATCAAGGTCCTGGGTTCATAAATATATTAAGTTTTTGCAATAACTTGTATGTTTAAGTTTCATATTAATAAATATTTAATTAAATTACTTTTTATATAATGAGATCTAAGATTTTCGTAATATTCATTTAAATGAGACTAATATTTTCGTTTACTTTTCAGCAACCGTGATCACGGACAGCCGAGATATGACAAAATAATAAATTACTCCTAGTAATCTCAATATATTAGTTTAATCATCCTTTTTATATATTAATATTATTATTTATATGTGTGTATATGATAAATACCTTCTTGAGATTATTGAAGAAAGACATGTCTCTACAGCGCGTCTGTGGGACGCGCTCCCTTCTCAGCCGCCAGTACACATGGCGACGCCTTCCCGCTTATACTGTTGACAAACAGACAACATTATTAAATAATAGATTTCCGGGATGTAAAGTAGCCGATGTGCTATTCCTGGACGTCAGCTTCCTGTATACAAAATTTTATCAAAATCGGTTCAGCCGTTTGAGCGTGAAGAAGTAACAAACATAAACACACACTCACAAACTTTCGCAATTATAATATTAGTAGGATATAAAAGAAAGCCGTGTTAATCATGTTATTTACAACTAAAGAACGGCTGTAGGGATATGGATGAAAATTGGTGGAGAGATAGATTAGAACCAGGAGACAGACATAGGATACTTTTCGTCCGATTGAAAAAGAAAAAATAAGTTGAAAAATCAAATATCTTCTTATTTACTATCTTTTAGGATGAATATAGTTCCCCCGGTCAGTTATACATTCCTAATTCTGGAATAAACGCAGACGAAGTCGCGGTCAAAAACTAGTGAATTATAAAGATTTAAAGTTTTTATTATACAATTAGCTATTATTAAAAAATAATATCAAATAGTCTATCACGTAATATTACGAGTTATCCGATAATAAGTTAAATAAATTTTATTTTAAATATGAATTGAAATATTTATTTAATGACCTTACTAGCAACTCGAATAAGTCCTCGTACTTGGAATAAAAGGAAAAATAACACTACTGTTTGAATAGACAGGAAAATATTGACGTTGAATTGAGACGAAACCTCTCATCATTCAATGTATTCACGGTGCGTGTGTCGGGTCCATCGTTGTAGTGAGAGGAGCTTCAACAGTGACTGGGACTTGTGACCCAGGTGTAGGTTTAATATATATAGAGAGACGAAACCTCTCATCAATCAATGTATTCACGGTGCGTGTGTCGGGTCCATCGTTGTAGAGAGGAGCTTCAACAGTGACTGGGACTTGCGACCCACGTGTAGGTTTAAGGGACCCTAGCTAACGCGTTAAATGTTTTCTTTATAAACATCCGTATCCAAAGATCTCTATTGGGATCCGTAATCAAGGACACAAATACTTATGTACCCAAATTAATTAACTCTACTTAATTATTTGATACTCTTCAATGTAATATCTCTATCAATGTTACAAAAATTATGGCCAATATTTCCTTATTTCATCAAAAGCCAGGTTATGTCGTTGAGCTGAAAGTCTACCTCCAAGAATATTATCTCCATCACTTTACCCTTATCAAGATAACTTCTAGCCGACACCAAAAAAAGAGTGTAATGCGTTCTACTATTACATATATACTGCATGTTACATAACAAATTTCTTTATATAAGTATAAATAAATCTACATATATAAAAATGAATTGCTGTTCTTTAGTCTCGCTAAAACTCGAGAACGGCTGAACGGATTTATCTTATTTTAGTCTTGAAATGTTCGTGGAGGTTCAGGGAACGTTTAAAACCTGAAAAAATTAATTCATTTTCGGGAAAACCCTAAAAACAGACCTATTCTATTTCCCATACAAACGTTTTTTTCTGACATTAGATTTGACAACTAACTAATATGACAATCATTCTGTCGCACTTTAAAACACGGAGATTTATGGCTTAAAGGTAAACTCCAAAAAATATCCTGTCTATTGAGGCAGTACGAAGTCTGCCGGGTCAGCTAGTTACATAATAAATTTCTTTATATAAGTATAAAATCTAGAACTAAAAAATCTACGTATATGGTGTAACAAAATGCGAACCTCTATATACGCTGTCGGTTAATTAATTATATCCTATTTATCATCACTATGATGCCTGATGAATCATGACTATCCGAATACATTTCCTCTAACAGAGATAACGCGTAACTTACAACCAAACTACATGTTCATTGTGTTATAAATAATAATTATATTTTAATGAAACATTTAAATAAATCTTAAAATTATACGGGACTAGGTTTTTCCTGTGACTTCGTTGCATTAGTTTCAGAGTTACTAATGTATATCTGACCGGGCGAACTCTATTCCTCCTTAAAGACAGTAGATAAGAAGATTTTGTATATGATAAACTTATTTTTATTTCTTCTTCAATCGGATGAAAAGTATCCTCTGTTCTTTCTATGTTCCAAGCTAACCCTCCACCAATTTTCATCCAAACCCCTACTGTCGTTCTTGAGTTATAAATAGTGTAACTAACATGAATTTCCTTTATATATGTTCTATATATATAAAAATGGATTGCTGTTCCTTAGTCTCGCTAAAACTCGAGAACAGCTGAACGGATTTATCTTATCATAGTCTTGAAATGTTCGTGGAGGTTCAGGGAAGGTATAAAAGGTGAGAAAAATTGGAATAATTGCCGGGCAAACCCTAAAAACAGCCCTTTTCTATTTCCCATACAAACGCTTTTTTTGACATTAGATTTGACAACCAACTAATATGTCAATCATTCTGTTTGATTGAAACAGGAAAAACCTGATTATTAATGGCCTCTAAAACGGAATAGAGTTCGCCCGGTCAGCTATACATATATTACTAATGACGAAACTAACGCGGACGAAGTCGCGGGCAAAAACTAGTAAAGAATAAAGATTATATGAGCCATTTAGTATGTCATGTCACGTTACGTCACTCCGCGTTAGACGATGTCATGTCGCGTTAGGAATGTCACATGTGACGTCACGTGACACAATGTCACGTCACGTGATCTACTCACTACCAGCGAATTATAAAAGTAATTCAATTGAGACAAGTTTCCCATAGGACTGCGTCACGTCAATCCAGACATGGTATCGATGTCTACTGTAACCGGAGAAGCCGTATCAGTCATGCATCCGCTGGGAATCGAACCCGCTACTAAGCAAAATCATTCCCAGGCCCTAACCTATATGAACTACGTCACATACTAATAATTTTACGCGGTTTTGTGCGAATTTCTACTAGTATGCAGCATTGGTTTAAGTCAGTTTAATTTGCCTTTTCAATCTCTATATCTATGTTAATACAAAATCACATACAAAACGGTACACTATTTATCCTTAATAAACGACAAACATAAGTACTTGCACAATAATAATAACTAGATGTCCCCTTACTATCAAAACTCGAATATAGTTAATTAATTATTTCTTGTTCAATAGTAGAATATGCGTCATTATGTTTAACATTCAGTATATATATATATAGGGAAAAATAATTCCTTATTTATAAATAGGAAACCCATTAACCGCATGCCATTGTGTGTATATAAGTAATTTAGGAGATTACTCATGCATATGAACACATGACGTACATGCATGATCTCATTATTTACTATAACGTAGTAAAAATTTACAACCGATATTACATTCATAGCACTTGGAACAAAAGATTTTTATATCATCATCATCAGCCTATCAGAGCCCACTGCTGAGCCTCTTCTCACATGAAGAAGGTTTGAGCATTAATCACCACGCTCGCTCAAGACGGGTTGTTGATTTCAAACTTATATGTAAATTATAACTCCAGGTTTCCTCGCGATGTTTTCCTTCATCAGTCAGTGGTGTCTAAATACTCTTATAAAGTACATATGATTCGGAAAAGTCACATTGGTACTTGTCAGGTTTCGAACCTGCGCCCTCATGCATAAGAGGCGGGCATATAGCATTTTTTTTAATACCATCTCATCAAAATAGATACAGCGTTTTTGTATTATTTTCATTTTTATTTCATTGAAATATTATTGTGAGTACGTATGAAAGTTTACGGTTAGATGCCTGAAACGGTTTTGATAAAATTAAGCATTAATAAACGGAACATATTCAAAGAAAATCCGCTTTTTCGTCTCGTTTTCGTGAGTTATGCGATTTTTTTTATTTTATTACATCTTTATTATAAATGAATTTTGATATTTGAAAAAAAAATACTGAAAATAAAAGATTCGATGACAATATATTTTTCTATAAATAAAAAGAAATAAAATTATATTTAAATCAAATAAAGATGTCTTTATCAGCTAGTTCCTTTAATCAAATATATTATAGTACATTCTATAAATTGTTTGACAAACCGCTCCGCTTATGTACGTAAACCACACCTTAAGACGATAGACTCGCGACCTGAATCCGCTATCAATTAAAACAAAGTCATCTGAAGGCCGCGTTCACATTCCAAGAGCGAACCATTTCCGAATAGGATATTTTAAAGTCCAAGAAAAACCAATGGTACTTATTAGTCTAGACTCTAGATATTAACTTATTACCTAACTAAACTATTTAGTAATGTCTAATTTTATTTATTTATACATAGTATATAAATATTGGATTTGTATAGGGTATATGTGGGAGCGAGAGGTATAACAGCTAAATCTCTCTACAACCTACTAAAAGACTTGGGCCTGTCCAGAACTAATATCAATACATTCTTGGAACGTACTTCGAATGCAGCCTTAGTAGGTTCTTTTCAAATTAGGTAGGGAGAGGAGCTTGTACGGTGGAGGTGAGCGTTTAACGCGTTAGATAGGGTCCCTTAAACCTACACCTGTGTCACAAGTCCCAATCACTGTTGAAGCTCCTCTCACTACAACTATGGACCCGACACACGCACCGTGAATACATTGAATGATAAGTTTCGTCTATCCTAATAAAT